TTACCCACAAATTTCACTTTAGAACTGTGTGTTTGTTTGTATTCAAGTATTTGTCTTTTAAATTGACTGACTCTTAAAAACAGTACATTTATTTCACACATTCCGCCTTTTGTTTGCTTTTTTTGCTAACACTGCAAAGGTTTATTTTTCTTTCATTTTTTGTTTCCAAAACAGTATCTTGGCATGTCTTTTATATTTTTAAGCTTTAAATCACAAAACAAAGAAATAACCAACAGACGGACGGACAGAGAGTTGGCTGGACAGACAGACAGACAAGATACATACCGAACAGAACCTCTTAGAAGTGGTCAAAGCTGGTACCATATCTTATTATAACAAAATTACAAAAAATATAAATAAATATAAAAACTTCAGAAAAAAAAGGCAAACTGAAATGGAATAACGAAATAAGCAAAAATTAAGAATGTGAAATATATAAAAAAAAAAAAATACTGGTGTCTACATGTATAAAATAAATAAAAGAAAGAAATAAGAAACAAGATATGTAGGTGATGAGATCATAACTTTTTATTAATTAAAACAAAACAACAACAACAAACACTAAAGTTATTAAGACTCTACTTCAGATACAAAATGCTGGCCAATTATATTTTTCGCTTACACCATGATCTAAATTTATAACAAACCACAAAAAACTAAAAACGACCTTTTTTGCTCAAATCCTAAAAATGTAAAATTTCATGCCCATTTTTAGCTTCTAAGATGATTTATTTATTTCCTCATGCCGTTAATAAACGTTTTAGAAATTTTTAATTTAATTAATTGTTATTATTGCTATTAATACTACTTATATGAATTAATTACATATTTTAATTTGAATTTTATTTTATTTTCAAATTCGATCATGTTGCCATAAATGAAATAGAATATAATAAAATAAAATAAATTGCAATTGCACATGAGTCGACAGCTATAAACACAACAATATCAACAAATACAACTGCCAGCAACAACGCTGACGACAACGCATTTTCATGAGATTTCTATTATACTGCAAGTATAGGCAATCGTATCGGTGTTATTTTCTTTTTGCTGTAACACTATAGCCAGGATGTTAAATGTATTAATTCTTGAAAAATATGAATATGTATCAAGCACGGAAAATTGAAATTTTGAAATAGTTTTAGACTATAGACTAGACTATAAACTAGACTAGACTATAGCATAGACTATAGACTAGACTATAATCTAGACTGCAGACTATAGAATAAACTATAAACTAGACTATAGTCTAGATAATGGACTAGACTATAGACTAGACTAGACAATAGACTAGACAATAGACTAGACTATAGACTAGACTATAGACTAGACTATAGACTAGACTATAGACTAGACTATAGACTAGACTATAGACTAGACTATAGACTAGACTATAGACTAGACTATAGACTAGACTATAGACTAGACTATAGACTAGACTATAGACTAGACTATAGACTAGACTATAGACTAGACTATAGACTAGACTATAGACTAGACTATAGACTAGACAATAGACTAGACTATAGACTAGAATATAGACTAGACTATAGACTAGACTATAGACAAGACTATAGACTAGACTATAGACTAGACTATAGACTAGACTATAGACTAGACTAGACTATATAGACTAGACTATAGACTAGACTATAGACTAGACTATAGACTAGACTATAGACTAGACTATAGACTAGACTATAGACTAGACTATAGACTAGACTATAGACTAGACTATAGACTAGACTATAGACTAGACTATAGACTAGACTATAGACTAGACTATAGACTAGACTATAGACTAGACTATAGACTAGACTATAGACTAGACTATAGACTAGACTATAGACTAGACTATAGACTAGACTATAGACTAGACTATAGACTAGACTATAGACTAGACTATAGACTAGACTATAGACTAGACTATAGACTAGACTATAGACTAGACTATAGACTAGACTATAGACTAGACTATAGACTAGACTATAGACTAGACTATAGACTAGACTATAGACTAGACTATAGACTAGACTATAGACTAGACTATAGACTAGACTATAGACTAGACTATAGACTAGACTATAGACTAGACTATAGACTAGACTATAGACTAGACTATAGACTAGACTATAGACTAGACTATAGACTAGACTATAGACTAGACTATAGACTAGACTATAGACTAGACTATAGACTAGACTATAGACTAGACTATAGACTAGACTATAGACTAGACTATAGACTAGACTATAGACTAGACTATAGACTAGACTATAGACTAGACTATAGACTAGACTATAGACTAGACTATAGACTAGACTATAGACTAGACTATAGACTAGACTATAGACTAGACTATAGACTAGACTATAGACTAGACTATAGACTAGACTATAGACTAGACTATAGACTAGACTATAGACTAGACTATAGACTAGACTATAGACTAGACTATAGACTAGACTATAGACTAGACTATAGACTAGACTATAGACTAGACTATAGACTAGACTATAGATTAGACTATAGACTAGACTATAGACTAGACTATAGACTAGACTATAGACTAGACTATAGACTAGACTATAGACTGGACTATAGACTAGACTATAGACTAGATTATAGACTATAGACTAGACTATAGACCAGATTATAGACTAGATTATAGACTATAGACTAGACTATAGACTAGAGAATAGACTAGACTATATACTAGACTATAGACTAGACTATAGACTAGACTATAGACTAGACTATAGACTAGATTGTAGACTAGACTATAGACTAGACTATAGACTAGACTATAGACTAGACTATAGACTAGACTATAGACTAGACTATAGACTAGACTATAGACTAGACTATAGACTAGACTATAGACTAGACTATAGACTAGACTATAGACTAGACTATAGACTAGACTATAGACTAGACTATAGACTAGACTATAGACTAGACTATAGACTAGACTATAGACTAGACTACAGACTATACTATAGACTTGACTATAGACTAGACTATAGACTTGACTATAGACTAGACTATAGACTAGACTATAGACTAGACTATAGACTAGACTATAGACTAGACTATAGACTAGACTATAGACTAGACTATAGACTAGACTATAGACTAGACTATAGACTAGACTATAGACTAGACTATAGACTAGACTATAGACTAGACTATAGACTAGACTATAGACTAGACTATAGACTAGTCTATAGTCTAGTCTATAGTCTAGTCTATAGTCTAGTCTATAGACTAGACTAGACTAGATTATAGACTATAGACTAGACTATAGACCAGATTATAGACTAGATTATAGACTATAGACTAGATTGTAGACTAGACTATAGACTAGACTATAGACTAGACTATAGACTAGACTATAGACTAGACTATAGACTAGACTATAGACTAGATTATAGACTAGACTAGACTAGACTATAGACTAGACTATAGACTAGACTATAGACTAGACTACAGACTAGACTATAGACTAAACTATAGACTAGACTATAGACTAGACTATAGACTAGACTAGACTACAGACTAGACTATAGACTTGACTATAGACTAGACTATAGACTTGACTATAGACTAGACTATAGACTAGACTATAGACTAGACTATAGACTAGACTATAGACTAGACTATAGACTAGACTATAGACTAGTCTATAGTCTAGTCTATAGACTAGACTAGACTAGATTATAGACTAGACTATAGACTAGACTATAGACTAGACTATAGACTAGACTATAGACTAGATTATAGACTAGACTATAGACTAGACTATAGACTAGACTATAGACTAGACTATAGATTAGACTATAGACTAGACTATAGACTAGACTATAGACTAGACTACAGACTAGACTATAGACTAAACTATAGACTAGACTATAGACTAGACTATAGACTAGACTATAGACTAGACTACAGACTAGACTATAGACTTGACTATAGACTAGACTATAGACTTGACTATAGACTAGACTATAGACTAGACTATAGACTAGACTATAGACTAGACTATAGACTAGACTATAGACTAGACTATAGACTAGACTATAGACTAGACTATAGACTAGACTATAGACTAGACTATAGACTAGACTATAGACTAGACTATAGACTAGACTATAGACTATAGACTAGACTATAGACTAGACTATAGACTAGACTATAGACTAGACTATAGACTAGACTATAGACTAGACTATAGACTAGACTATAGACTATAGACTAGGCTATAGACTAGACTATAGACTAGGCTATAGACTAGACTATAGACTAGACTATAGACTAGACTATAGACTAGACTTTAGACTAGACTATAGACTAGACTATAGAATAGACTATAGACTAGACTATAGACTAGACTATAGACTAGACTATAGTCTATTACTTAGTTGCTGGGTATTACTATATTAATTTCAAATAAATCAGTTTGTGTTAATAAAAAGTATTAAATATGTATTTAGTTTATATTTTAAAAATATGCAAATCGATTTTTCGAATTCGCATGAAATTGAAAACTTAAATAGGTGAAAATTAGTTCAAAATCATAATCCTATTGACTTAAGAATTTTGCGTTTAATTCACACTTTAAAGGTCTGTTTGTGAGAATTACTTTTAAGCCAGTTAGGTTAATTTTTGTGTTTTTTTTTTTAATAATTACATGCACGTAAAGTAGATATTCACAAACATACACACAGATACTAATTCTCAAACACGCATACAAAGACAATACAAGTTTCAGTACTACCAGTTTGTTTTTAGCTGTTTTCTTCTGAATCTAAATCTTTTAATGTTCACTGTCTGTATGTCTAGTTGGTTGGATGACTGGATGGCTGGCGGGCTGGTGGCTTGTAAATATCTCACATACTCTAAATGATGAAAAGATTTTTTTATTTTAATTTGTTTTCTTTAAGTAACTTTATTTCTCACTCTCTTTAATATTATATTCTTATATCTTCTCATTTTAGAGCTTGGGAAAGAAATACTACCAACAAAATGTATACAAAAACTGATGAAAGAGTGTCTGGAGTTGGGAGTTTTTGTTTAAACACTAACACTCGTTTTCGTATTCGTATTCGTACTCGCACTCTTACTCATTCCACATCTTGCTGATAACTGAATTATTGGCAACAGCGATCACTGCGACAGCAGCAGCAACAACATCACGGCAAACGACGACAACAACTACGACGACGACTTGGCTAAAAGGAAACAAAAACTGGCTTCGTTAGTTGATTGTCATCCGCCGTCGCGAGTTGTTTGCAAAACGTCAAACCCATAATTTTCGTATGAGATGTCAAGGTGATGCGCGTGTGCAAGTACGCGATAATGTTCATAAAGAAACAGAACAACAGAAGTTTGACAAGTATTTTTTCGACATAACCCCGGAAGAATGATGAATTATTTTTATACTTGTGTTTAAAGTTCAACTATTGTCAAAAGAACAGAACACAACACTCACGCTCTGTTCTAACACCAGAGTTTACAAAAGTGTGTTAAATATTGTGTAAACGAAAAAAAAAGATCAATTACCCTAGTGCAATAGTGTTCTTAATTATTTAGAAAAAGCCCTTAACCCAATAAAAATATTGATTAAAATCCAAAAAAATATCTAAAACGAATAAATAAAAAAAGATGGGTACAAAATCACCGGGTGGACCTCAACGTTGTCGTTTAATACTTAAACAATGTATTGCGGTGCAATTATCGAAACCAGGTCATACACTTGATGATTTTTGGATGTACGATTCTGGCTACATGGTTTTTCAGGTAAGTTTTTTCTTAACAATTATCCAAATACACATACACACTCACATATTTTACAACGTTAATCTCGTAGCATGAACAGATTTCATTCACAAACAAACGAAAGCGCTTGATTTCAAACGCCACAAAAATTCTCACACTTATTTAATATTTCAATCATTTAGCGTCTTGGGTGCGTTTTATTGAATTATTATTTTGTTTTTTGCTAAATTAACAAAATGTATTCACACTTTTATGCAATTCAATTAACAACAGGTGGAACGTACAACAGCAAAAATTATGTATATTTTTATAAGAAAAAAACTTATTTTAGAATATACATTCATAATATTAATTTAACCCACATTTTATGATTCAGAATAAATATTAGCTAAGTGTATTTAGGTTGGATTTAATCAAATATTGAAATGATATTTTCAATGTTTACACCATTTCCTATAAATGTTTCGTGTGCGATTTTTATAAAAACCACATATTACTTCTTATTTTTTCTTCGAATTCTCTATTTAGTCATGGAATTAAAATATTATTCTTGGTGTCCCTTGGGCCACTTTTTATAGGAATACCTCTTAAAAGTTGTGAATTAATGTACTAAAGAGGCCTCAGTTCCCTACCGGTGATTGAAAGTCCTGATACCAGCACAATATATTAAAAACTAATTAAATGCAATCTTTTCGAAATGGGTCTTGAAAATTCCGTAATTTTGAAATTATAGCGAGAAAATCCTGCCCTAATCGAAGTTGCAATTGCTTCCTAATGTTAGCTCAAAAACGGATTACAACTACGAATAAAAGTCACTGAGTAAATGTACGTTAAAACCTATAAAATATTTGGCGAAAAACACGTGACTACTATTTTTTCTATATCTTTTTTTGGTCTTACATTATTTTTGTTAATGCAAAATCAATCGAATCATATAATAAAGACATATTTATAGAAAATCAAGATCAATTTTTTAGGGGTCACGTAATTTTAGCCTAATATTTGATAGGTGTGAACATACCTTAATGAACCTTTTCCAGAACATATGAAAGGAATGTCAACTCTATAACACTTTCACAGAAACAGTCTAAAATAACAATTTCAAACAAATATCATTGGTCTAAACTTTAGGGTCTATTAATGCCGAAGTGCTTTACGTGAGTATCACTTCCGTTTACAACCACACAGATGGGATGGCCTCTGTTGAGTCGGCAACAGCACCTAGAGACGCAACCGGTAGACCGAAGTACAAATCCATCAAATAAGCCGAGACTTTGTTCTTACTCACAGTGACACACTGTGGTAATTCTGATATGAATAGAGTATACTCTGAACATATCTGGATAAGGAAGGAAAATTCAATGATATCATTTGTATATGATACCTTTCATCCATCATCATTCAACCCAGCACACTTCTCATTCATCTGACACATTCATAAGAGAAAAACATACGACCCACTTATTCTAGATAAACGGGAGGGTGGCATACCCTACTCATTTCCAACGCTTAGTCCCACAGTCACTCCTTTGTGAGGTATCTGTTGTTTCGGCATCAGCACCGACATCAGTCCCTTAACCGCCACTTACTCTCCCCGCGAATTTGGATTTAAACCACAGCTACTACGTGGATCCCGAAGGAACTTCAACCAACTGAAAAGCCAGGACATAGTCCTGCGGGCAACTGGCCGCCCGTAGTACCAGATACCAAGGACTAGCCGAGGATTGAAGTGACATCACCAGTTTATAGTCCCGGCAGACTAGAGGTACTGGTAGCTCCTCTTTTACCCCGGGATAGCAATACACCATAGAAACATACCAAGGGGAAACTTTAGGGTCTCCAAAATTACCTAATTTTGAACTGATTACGAGAAAAAAATTTTACTTTAGAGAATTTTAGAAAATACCGCATATACAGTGCCAAAAAAGATTAGAATGGATAACGGTACTGAGAACTGTTAATAACTCAATATTGTTTATTATGGATATCACTGACTTAAACTCCGAAACAATGAATTTCATTTTAAACCAATCAAACGCCCAGTTCCTGCGATTTATTAGCTAGATTATATAATGATCAAACAAAACAACAAGACAGCGTTCCATAAAAAGGGGTTTTAGAAGTAGTTGCACTTGTTCCAAAACTAGTTTATTTTTAGAACAACATCTCATATTATATAATATCAAAATTCAATTAAACACAGATTCCGAAAACTATTATATTTCACATTTGTCTCTGAAACTCAAAAATAATTTAAAAAAAAATATTATATCGCAATAAAATTAAAACTTTGTTTTATGTTTTATAATGTTTTTTTTTATGCTATGGAAATAAAATGTTAAAAAAGAAACAACTATGTATGTAAAGTTTACATTTACTAACATTCTCATTACTATGAATCACAACTTCTTGTGAATTTTGAATTAGTAATGTCTCTTATGGAAGTATCCTTCAATTGAGTTTATTGCTTTTGGCAAGAAAATGTAACTTAAAAGTACAAAAAAAATAAAACTAAACAAATGATAAAAAAAGACATGAAAATACCAAAACACAGTTCTGAAATGAATAAAAAAGTAAAATATTCGTATTGTACATGTTATGAAAGATAAGATTATTGACAAAATATTTTTAATTGAAATTGAGTGTTAAATAAGATAAGAATTTTTTTAAAAAAGTAAAAGTTTAAAAATTAAAAGATTTTTTTCTAAAATATTGAGAATTTTACACACGCAATAGATTTTCTCATATTTAGTTGGAAAAAAGTTTCAAATTAGACCAAAAGTCCGATTTCATTTTAGTTTAGTGAACATCAGAATGGATTTCGGAAGAACAAGTTCTATAAATTCTTAATTATATTCCTGGCCGAATTCTACAGAATGATTAATCTATACATGTGGGCAATTTAAAGGAAAATCTCTAAGGACAGGAGATTGGTCTCCCAACAAATAGATTCACTAAGACGAAATGTATTTTCCCTAAACATTCGATGTAAAAACGGGTAAAATAGGTAACCTCATACATCTCCTAAACTAGAAAAGGTACGAAAACAATATATAGCTATGAAAGGGAACTTTTTGGTACTTTTTTGTTCTTCTACTGGTACTTTTTGAGTTTTCTATAATATTGAACTTAGAAACTCAATTATTCAGGAAAATCTGTAAAAAAATCTGTTTCTTCGAATATACAGAGAAAACCCACAGACTCATTACAGTATGTTTTTTGTTTTATAATTACGACGAGGGTAGCGAAACTCACCGGGTAAAACTAATATTTTACAAATAAGTAGCGTTACTGACTGACTGATTCATCATCGCACAGCCCAAACGGCTGAACCTAGAATCATGAAATTTTGGCAGTGGATGTGTTTTTGGTTATGTAGATCCACTAAGAAGGGATTTTTGGAAATTTGTATATTTACGGGTAAAAAGGGGGAAAACGGGTAAAACAGGTTTTCTTAATTATCTTGCACAATATTAGCGATACAAGAAAAATTTTTTTTCTTAAAATGAGCAGATGGGTGTCTGGTACTTTTTTGAAATTCGTACTTTTAAGGGGTAAAAATTTGTAACAAGGGTGATTTTGGTACCTTTTTTGGCCCTTTATAACTTTTGAACTAATTAAAATAATAAAATTTTTATAAATATTTTGGATACATCTCCCAAAATTATGAGACACCTGTTTGGTACTTTTTTTAAATTCAGTCCTTTTTGGGTGTAAAAGGAGAAAACTGTATTTATGGTACTTTTTTGGCACATTAAGAAATTTTTTTCGGTTTATTGAATTATTCCTATTAAATTACAGACTAACTTTGTAATATTTATTGTAATAAAATTTTTGCTATTTCTCTGGAGAAAAAAGTACCAAAAAGGGAAAAAACGGGAAATTTAATTTTATTCAAACTCATTGAGCCAATTTTTATAAAATTTGAAAAAGTAGTTTATTTACTTACACAAAATGAGCTGTTGGTATATTATTTTGGAATTCGAGTGTTTGGTACTTTTCATTACTTTTTATCTCATAAATGGTACTTTTTAATTTTCTAAAATAATCAACCTAGGAACATTAATTTTAACATACACGGTCTTGACTGAATAATATTCTGTAAATGGGAACTATTTGATACTTTTCTATTCTTCAAATGGTACCTTTTAGATTCTCTATAATGGGAACACACGGTCCTTATTAAATGAGAATTTAGGGGCAGATTTTTGTACTTTTTCGTTTTTCGATGATACTTTTTGATATTTTTACGATATTGAACATAGATATTGAAAATAAAATTTAAAATTTAGGGACCTTAGTGAATGAGAATCTACTGAAAGGGCCTTTTGGTACTTTTTTGATTCATCAAATTATATTTTTTGAATTGTATATAATATTGAACACAGAAACATAAAATTTTTTATTAAATCTATTAGACGTATTTTATAGTACTTTTGTTTCTAATAGTTCTTTCGAAACTTTCTATAATGTGGAAGGTAAATGAATGAAACTAAAAATACAAGCTTCTTACTGAATGTGAATTTAATCACGTGATATTGAACGTATAAAACTGAAACATTAAAAAAATGTTTAATCAATTTTAATTTTCTATAAAAGTAAACAAAATTTTTTATGTATTTAATTTAAGTTAGGGTAGCGAAGCATACCGGGTAAAACTAATAATTTATAAATATTAAAACACTTTTTAAGAAAATGTTTTGTTTTCCCTGCAGATCAATATTAAACATTTTAATTGGAATTGCAATTTTTTCACTCTCCTCCCTCTAAACTTGGAGCAGTCTAATGAACACTAATTGATGCATATTTGCATAAAGTTTTATTGTTTTTGTATTTTTGTCTTTTCACCATTTATTTACATTAGTAAAACTTGCACAAACAAAGTCATAATAATTTAAATAGAAATAAATAAAGTTATTTATTTATTGTTTTACTTTTAGAATTTCTTGTCTGCAAATGCACAATGTTGGTGGAATGCACCTTTAACGGCGGCTACACGAGCACTCAAATACGCTGGTCATGTAGCGCCAGGAATGCTATTAGTCAGTGGAGAACCATGTGCCTTGGAGGTAGTAAGAGGTGCATATGCCAGAAGTGTTCTAAAGCCGCCAGCGACTTATGTCATCAGTTCAGTTGGTGAGTGGTAATATTTGCATAAAAGTTATATAATTAAAAAAATATTATCTATAAGTATGAAAGAATATGGAAAGGTTTTGATTACTTTTGTGACAGTTGCTTAAAATGCAATGTGATAATAATAGGAATTATATAGTTAAACTAAACGGGAAAAGAGCTAATATAAGTTAGTAGTAATTTCTCTACTAGTACGAGTATGTTTGTTAAAATTTGTCATTTTTTTATTTCCTCTGTTATATATTTTGTTTCTTTTTGTAATAATTAAAAAAATATAAAAATTTTAAAATATTCTTCAACAAATAAAAAATATAATTTTAGTTATTTCAAAATTAAATGTAATGTCACAACCAACAACAAAATTTGATCTGTCATCTGCTATAAATCCTCTACAAGATGAAGAATTCTCTGAATTGACCAAACAGGAAATACTATTTTGGTCTCATAAGCTTAAAATAACACCATCACAACTATTTTCCTTGTCCAAAAAGGAACTGGAAATTATTATGCAAAATGCTATAAAAGGCGAAAGGAATCAACAAGAGAGACAAGAGCAAACTAGACGCTGGGAGAAATTAAGCAAAATGAAAAGGATATTAATAGAAAATCAACAGAAAAATCGTTTAAGAGGAGGAGCTGGACCCGATTTACTGGAAATTTTGGCTCGAGCGGCCGAGGAAATTGAATATATGTATGGCTCGCGTTATGGTACTTTTGACACATCGGGAGACATGACTTATGACAGCTCCCTTGATACTACCGATGAGTCACCATTTTCCTACAGTTTATACAGTGATGAGGAAGCTAGTTATGAAAGTGCAACAGAAGATTTTTCATTTAATATTGATGAAAATTTGGCATCTACTCCATATAGTGGTTGTCCCAAACGGCAATTACCCAGAAATAATACTTATTGTGTACCTAATGCAGATGCAACCTTCAATGCCACTTATCCTAAATCGTCTTTTAAACTATCAGATGTAACTCCTCCGTCTGGTATGAGAAGTGTTAAACATTCTTCTTACAATTTGGCAGATGTTACCCCTCCTTCGGGTATGCAGTTGGATAATTGGTCACCACAACAAGTCCATCATATCGATAATATTTCTGGTGTTTCGAAAGCTTCCTCATTTCGCAACTATACCGATTATTCTATACAATTTAGTCCAACGGGCACCGAAGAGACCGCCAATAGTATATCGGTGGAAAATTATGATGAAACTTCGGGTAAAGTAACGGCTTCTTCACGTACATTTACTCTACCACCAGCCACTACTCCAACCAACGCTCTGGAATTGTCTAACATTACCCCACCTACAATGGCAAGTGGTTGTCTGCCACGCGCCATAAGAGGAGTTTCACTCGACAACGATCTCTCCAATATCTCGCAACCTATGTTAGCATCGGGTTGTATTAGAAGCCCAGCTTCTAACTTGACAAATATCAGTCCACCTGCCTTGGCATCAGGATGCATTAGACGTCCTGCTAGACGCAATGATTTATCAAATATTTCACCACCTGGTTGCATCAGATCTCCCGCCAGAAGAAGGGATTTATCAAATATTTCACCACCAGCATTAGCCTCCGGTTGTCCGAGAAGTGTTCGTTATTCACCCTCAGCATCGGAAATTCGTCGACGTCATTTAAAATCAACATCTGGTGATTTATCAAATGTAACAGCTCCCGCATTAGCATCCGGTTGTTATGGTCAAGCTTCACAATTACATGATATTACGTATGATCAATACCCTACCCAATATTCGTTTGATACAGAAAATGTTCCAGCTCCTCTAGCAATGTCAACAGCCCAACGATGCCCTATACAATCAGCACGCAGAGCAAAAACTCCTTTAAGAATAAGACCAAATCGACCATATCGTCCCAGAAGAATTTGTGAAGAGGAATAAATTAAGAAGAAATACTTTTGGAAACTATAAATCTAAATTAAATTGTTTTAAATCTGTGTATAGCTTTAGTAACAACATTTTCTATATTTTATATAATAAAAAATACCAACATTTTCGATTAATTTATTTTCAATTTACTCAAAATGAATGTGCATAATTTTTGTTTGTAAATTTAAGGTGACATTGACGATTGCATTGTGACACCAATTATGCAAGGCCAGTTTACTCCATTACCTGAAGCTCTTTGTGATGTTATTATGGATCTGACGGCTGAAGGTCATTCGGCAACTATTGAAAATATTCGTACAAGAATTGAAGTGCGCTTTCCACATATGACTCCACCCTCAATTGAAGTGATTTATGATTCTTTGGCACAACTAATGCAGGAACAAAAAATCTATCAAACAGCAAAAGGTTACTTCATTTTAACACCAGAGTAAGTGGTTATTATTTTAAAAGAAAAACATGAGTGTTTCTACAAGCCCATTAAAATTGCATTTTACAGGCGCCGACGCAGCCGTTCACGACCTCGTAGTCATCATAATGGTTTTATGGATTTAGATGAATCAACTGATAGTGTTCCCCAGGAACCGCGCACCATGTTGATGACTAATGCCGAAGCTTTGCACTCGTTATATGGTGAAATTTCAACAGAACGTGATGGTGATTTGACGCATCAGTGCATTCAAACTAATTTAGCAGATGTGATATGCGGTGGTAAGTATCATACCTACATTCACTTGGCATTTTTTATTTATTATTTTAAATAATTTTTGTATATCTCTTAAGGCAATTCAAATGACAAAATTCTTTATCCTCGAACATCGAAACGAAGAAGTTCTTCTTTCCCCACACCACGCAGTCTAGAGAGAAGACACAGTTTACGGCTCTTTGGTTCATCGAAACGTTTACAGAGATGTGCCTCTACAAGAAGTCTATCAAAAACATATGCACAAACTTTAAATACAGATAGTAGCAGTTCGGAATACCAAAGCACAGATTCTTCATCACCAAGTAGGTTTCAACATAAATCTATCTATCTATCTATCTATCTATCTATCTATCTATCTATCTATCTATCTATCTATCTATCTATCTATCTATCTATCTATCTATCTATCTATCTATCTATCTATCTATCTATCTATCTATCTATCTATCTATCTATCTATCTATCTATCTATCTATCTATCTATCTATCTATCTATCTATCTATCTATCTATCTATCTATCTATCTATCTATCTATCTATCTATCTATCTATCTATCTATCTATCTATCTATCTATCTATCTATCTATCTATCTATCTATCTATCTATCTATCTATCTATCTATCTATCTATCTATCTATCTATCTAATAAATAATAATTCCTATTTCTCCTAAATATTATCTACATTAATTTCATTATCTTTTAGAAAAAGGATCTTTGCTATCACGACTATTTCGTCGAAGTGGGCGAAATAAGGCGCGACAACTTGAAACTTATTCCGGCCAATTTCCTCCAGCTGAGTGGTTTAACTCTAAAGCTGTACACTTACATAGTGTGGGCACACAGACACAAGATCATGTAAGTACTATATATTTTAATTTATTTAATAACAAATCAATTTTAATAATATTTCTTATTTTACAGGATATGCCAACAATACACACACTATCGAATTCGACATTCTACGATGGTTCCGAATTGAGTCAACGCTCATTAACGCTGCCTCGACGACATCGACGTAATTTATCCAGTGAATCGACATTTTTAATATCGTCTCGCGATTGCTCGCCAATACGAAGACGGTCACCCGCTTATTGTAGTAGTTCTTTGCCCAGATCAACGCAATCAATACCAGCAACGGCGAATGGCAACAGTAGTACCGTAGCAGGCACAAAAGGCAATCAATCGGCGGCCACATTATCGGCACGCACCAGTACACCCTACAAAAGTTCACAAAAGTCTATACAAAGTGGATCGGTGGCTCGACATATGTTGGAGCACTCACCTTCACGAAGCGCCAACTCTTCACAAAAGTCAACGAACTCCGGGAGCAGAAGTCAGGAAACTAGAAATGACTATCGCATGTGGCAGAGTGGTCCTTCTAGTTTGGAGTCGGGCAAAACTTCTCTATATCCTTCAGGTCCTTCGAGTATTGACAGTGGTAAAGTATCATACAACAGAACAAGCGGTCATTCTAGTCTTGAATCTCAACGTTCGACAAGCTCAACGGTAATACAACCCAGATCTATAATCATGCTTAATGGCTCGCCTAGAGGGACACCTAGACATCAAATACTAAGAGCTAGAAATGCAGAGCAAGTTATGCGAAATCAGTCTTCCACTACTACCAGCACCTCCTTCCCCATAAATGAAACTAGGTCCACAAATAGTAGAGATACTTCTAATTCTGAGAAAGCGGAAAATGCTGCAGCAATTACCAACTCGACTTCAAATAACTCCATAACACTTAAATTAACCACCTCCAACGATGGTCAGCATAATCTTCCCAATACAAAAATTGTGGTACAAAACACTCCAGCCCATAGTGTTATCACTTTCGAAAATAGCAAATTAACAGAAAATTCAAATGTTTTTATCATTAACAATGAAACCACAACCAACGAAAGAGGAGAAATTATTAGAAAAACCTTGTCCAAACAACACATGCCAGCAATGCAGCAACCGGCAACTGATAGACCAGAGAAAAGCAACCATCAGTCAACAGAAACTGTTAGCGAAAAGAAATCATCGGAAAATGGCTCCTGTCGAGAGTCCGATGCAGATACGCTGTCATGTATGAGCACGTTATCAGCCGACAAGTCTAATGATACCAACAACGAATTGCCAAAGTTTTCCAAAAATATTTTTAATGATAATACGACAACCATGAACAACAGTCGTAATATGGGTTTACCACTACTACCCACAAATACTGGTCATTTAATTTATAAAAACAATGTGCTCAAGAACTCCGACTCACCCGTCCAGTCACCAAGCGAAGAGAAAAGTCTTTCAGTGGTAGAATTATCAAAGCCTAAAGCAGATATTACAGGTTCAGTGGGCAATTTAAGATTTTATGAAAAAAACTCCAAGGACTCGTTGGCTAAAGCCATCAATTCCAATTGTGAGTTAAACAACTTGCGCTACGAATCTTCCACGCTTTTGGCAAAAAATGATAACCTCAATTCCAATACATCATTAAGTGGTGGCAGTTTGGTGCAGATACTACAAAAGAACAGCATTTCCCTTGGTAGTGAACCCAATTTGGCACAAAAAGATACCAATTGCGCTACAACGACAGACAAATCAATACGAAAGGATACCCTCGATCGTCGTCTAAGTCTTTCTAAAGATCACTCCTCCGAAGCCGAGGATCTATTCAACTTTCCCAGCCTAACGGATTTGTCTTTTAATTTCACCTCATTAGCAGCACAAAAAATATTACAGGGTGTTAGCTTAAATAGCATAGATACATTGGTGGAATTAAATATGGCTGCAGCAGCTGCAGCGGCTGCTGCTGCCGCGGCTGCCAATAACACGAATGCGTCAGCAATGGAAAAACCACAAAATAATCAACCCACATCTGTATGTACAGATTTCGGTCTAGTTTAGCTTTAAACATACAACAATGTAGTGAGTGAGTGTGGCACACAACAGCAAGAATTAATGAGATCATATTCAATAGAAATAATTAAATACATTAGATTTTAGTCAATGACCAATGTGAGTAAAACAAGTAGAAATACAAACATACATAGAACATTTACATATACACCATACTTTTGGCACATTTGCGTAAACTGTTAGATATATAAAATTATTCCCCAAAACACAATATCCACAATATTTATCTAAACTAAGAAGTAAATTTAACGTGTTACCAAACATAGAAATCCCAAAAAAAAGTATTGGAAAACTGGGATCTTAAGACAATAACATACGTATTAAACATGTAAATATTTTAATGCAAAAAGTTATACCAATCAGCATTTAGTAATCTATAACAAATTAAATAATAACTTTATCCAAAATGTTAACAAAAATAACAGAATCCTCATACCGTTAAAATCCCTTGTTAAGACAATTTCAGTATATTAGAGGATTATTTGGCCAGTAAACTTTTTTTGTTCTAAAAGGATCAGTTAAAATTTGAATAATAAACTATTAGTGCCAAAATATACATACACAATATATTAAATAACGAATAAATTAGTATAATATGATTGCAATAGCTTCACTTTTTAGTCAATATTTATAAATAATCAGGCTTCTCGCTCAGATATATCTTATTTGAGGTATTTGAGGAAATATGCAGGAGGAAATTTATAATGTGGATACATTTGACTCAGGATTCAACTTGAAAATTCAAAATTAAACTTGCATTTATTTGTTTAAACTTAATATATGCACCTTAAAACCATAAGTGAAATAAATTTTTTCGAAAGAAAACTTTAATGCCAGTTGTAGAAATAAAATCAATATTAAATAGAATATCCCATATACACACATATATCCCCTATAGATTTTATATAAAATTTTGTATATAATTAAATTACTTATGTATAGTATATATAACACAAATAATTTAAGTAGTATTACGCGACATGTAATGAACAATAATAAAATAATGAAAAAATATATAAACATAATTCAATATTATTGCTTTTTATTCATTCGAAAAAAATCCTTTTTAATAGGCTTTACTAATGAAAAAAAAAAAATAAGGATCTGTGCGTAGAACTGTATCTATCTATCTATCTATCTATCTATCTATCTATCTATCTATCTATCTATCTATCTATCTATCTATCTATCTATCTATCTATCTATCTATCTATCTATCTATCTATCTATCTATCTATCTATCTATCTATCTATCTATCTATCTATCTATCTATCTATCTATCTATCTATCTATCTATCTATCTATCTATCTATCTATATATCTATGTATCTATCTATCTATCTATCTATCTATCTATCTATCTATCTATCTATCTATCTATCTATCTATCTATCTATCTATCTATCTATCTATCTATCTATCTATCTATCTATCTATCTATCTATCTATCTATCTATCTATCTATCTATCTATCTATCTATCTATCTATCTATCTATCTATCTATCTATCTATCTATCTATCTATCTATCTATCTATCTATCTATCTATCTATCTATCTAATACTATGGATTAAATCGTTACCGTTCCGACACCGTATGTATCTTGGTTCGAAAACTGATTGGTGAATTGAAAGGGTGGTGAGTTTTAGCTCTCCAATGTGTTGAAGTATGGAGAATTATGCTGGTTTTTGTCTTGGATTGCCACAGTATTTTATCAAGTTGCCAGAAAGTTAAAAATTTTCAAAAAATATACATATGTATATTTTCTCCTTGTGAAGGAGAAATTAAAATCAGACGATTTTCCATAATTTGAAGTTATGTGCGAAAATTTTGTAATTCTTTTGAATGTTTTCTGTAAATAATTTGCATTTAATTTAATTTATAACTTTATACATGCACTTTGTTTAAAGAAGACAATTTCCATTTTACATTTCAAGATTCAAATTAAAGAACAGTGTATCTATCTATATACAGTATTGTTCGAAACCTAAGCAACTTTTTTTGGCATTGTATACAAAGTGCTATATTTTCTATATTAATTGATTTATTCAAAATTATATAATTGATAATAATAACATTATGTGTCTACATTATAATAACAACAACAAAAGTTTATTTCCATTTCGCTGTGAGTTACAAGAAAATAATAACTGAATTAACTCCATAAATAGCTGTTCGAAACTTAAGCAACTTTTTGATCTTCTTATGAAAATCTTTGGTTCTTTTGAGTTCCAAACACCTTTATGGAATAAATTAGTTACTAGTGTAGTTCGTAAGGAATCCCAAGCGGATCTTAAGCCATTCGCAAGCTTCTATGTTTTCTAAAACTGCAAGTTTCGACCCAGCTCTTCAGAAGGGACTTGAGTCGGGAGATTTTGATGGACAATCAAATAATTTGGGTCCTATTACCCGATAACAACTCTTAGATCAACTTTGCCAAAGGTTTTGGTTCATTATCATGCTGAAAATAGCAATAAAGTAAGTTGTTCTGTTCGGTGTACTCAATCGTATGATTAATTTTGTTGGAGAAAAACGTCCCAAAAGGAAAAACAATCGAACTTTGTTTGTGTTTCAACATCAGGACTAACCCTTCTCTTCAAAAAACGTGGCCACAGCCTTAAATTTTTGCACTCCATTCATTATTGGGCCTTTACTAAAAGGGTATATTGTAATATTTCCTTCAGCCTTTGGGCCTCGCATACTCTTTTTGAATTTAGGAAAGGAAAATGTGGACCCGTTTGTAAATAAAACTGTTTTTATTAGTCTTGCGTAATCTATTTCAATATTCTACCCAAAATTGTACAACATTTTTGAAAAATCTAATTTCTTTAAGTAAACTCTGTGCCATGTCACTGCGGGATTCATATGCGGTTACATTATCGTACATTAAAGACTTAAAAAAGCATGGAGGTCAAACAAATTAGGTTGTGGGCAAGATTTTTAGTGAGTAGAGTAAGTCCTGATGTTGAAATACAAATAAAATTGTATGTTTTACTTTTTGGCCAACAAAATGAACCATAGGATTAAGTACATTAAACAGAACAACTTACTTTATTGCGATTTTCAGCATGATAATGAACCAAAACCTTTGGCAAAGTTGATTTAAGAGGAGTTATCGAGTAATGGGACCCAAACTCTTTGATTGTTTATCAAAATCTCCCGACTCAAGTCCCTTAGAGATGCTGTTCGGCATTCTGAAGCGCTGGGTCGAAACTCGCAGTTTTAGAAAACATTGCAGCTTGCGAATGGCTTAAAATCCCCGTGGGATTCATTACGAACTACACTAGTAACTAATCTATTCCATAAATGTGTTTGGAACTCAAAAGGACCAAAGATTTTCATAAGAAGATCAAAAAGTTGCTTAAGTTTCGAACAGCTATTTATGGAGTTAATTCAGTTATTATTTTCTTGTAACTCACAGCGAAATGGAAATAAACTTTTGTTGTTGTTATTATAATGTAGACACATAATGTTATTATTATCAATTATATAATTTTGAATAAATCAATTAAAATAGAAAATATAGCACAATGCCAAAAAAAGTTGCTTAGGTTTCGAACAATACTGTACATATAGGGCTCTTAGTGATGTATTTTAAATAGGAATGTATCATTATTAAATTGAGTCATTTAAGTCTTACAAAAGTAAAAATATTGCTGTCAATTGTCGTAATAATGGGTCAATAACAGTTCATAGACCCCGTACAAAATACTTCTTGGAAATGTTTTTAACATATAAAAAATTACTTATAAATATTCCTTTGCCGTACCGGCTTTATGCTTTCTTCATTGTTTTGTTATATTAAGGGACAAAGTACACATATCACAATTAAAAATAAACTAAATTACAATTAAAATCTGTAAAATTCTTTCATAATCTGTATAAATATTTCATAAATAATTATGACCCTTTACGCTAGCCAACACGTACTTATTTCATTATAATCTAATGTATTAAATCCAAATGATAAACATCTTTAGAATACATATGCACACACCGGAATTGTTTACTAATTTGGAAAGACAAATAATGTATGTATGTATATCAAAGTAATCAACACTTTGTAAATAGTTACTTGTTAATATACTCAAATCCTTACACATACTACCATACAAATATGTAGGTAAATCAATTTCTTTAACAAGTATCAAAATATAAAATTATTTCAATCACGTCCAACTTTCACAAAACTAACAACTGTGGACATCTTGCTGAGGTTACTAATTTTCATATGTCCTTTAGATTGACAAGAGTTGACAAACAGTTTAACGCTTCAGCACGTTTTCAATTTAATTTTCGAAACACTTTCGGTCAAACAATGTCACATTAACAGATGTATACTACATATAGTATGAATTTTGAAATGGTTGTGTATTTATGTGGGGATATAAATACATATTTGTATAAGTATGTATGTTTTAATGTATATGTATGTATATTGTATTTATACATTAAATTTACTTGAATTATCTTCAGATAAGTAGTTGAGATGTGTGTTGTGTATAAATATCTGCAAGTACTATTTAAAGTTTGTTTAGAGGCGTTAAAGCATTTCCTAAACTTGACTCAAAACTTGTAAGTAAAACAATAGAGTTTAAGTATCTTATTTTCTTCTTAATAACAATGGCGAAATGAGTTATTGAAATAATAAAGGAAGTTCTTGAAAAAGTTAATCTAGTTCAGAGTTTTAAAGGAATTTTATGAATAAGTTATTTATTAAAAGAAACTAGTGCGAATGTTAAACTAAGATTTTTATTCACATCGAAACATTGGCTTTTGTTAATAAAAACAAGTAAGAATTCTATATTCCAATCTTATATACCCTTCACCATGATGTTTTAAAAAAACAGTGAGTACGAATTTTATTACAAAAATCAAAAAGTACCAGTTATAAAACGAAAAAGTACCAGGAAGTCCACTTTTATATGTTCTTACTTACTCCGGGCTCTACATGCTTAATTTTATGTTTCTAGGTTCAATATTATAGAAAATTCAAAAAGCACCTTTTGAAGAACTAAAAAATACCAACAAAATCCGGGCTCTTAGTTACATGTGTTTAGGTTCAATATTCAAATATCAAAATGTACCTTTAGAAGAACGAAAAAGTACCAAAAAGTCCCCTCTTACGGGTTCTCACTTAATCCGAGTGCTACATACTAAATTACATGTTTCTAGGTTCAATATTATAGTAATATTCAAGAAGAACGAAAAAGTACCAAAAAGTCCCTTTTATGGTTTCTCACTTAATCCGGTCTTAATTACATGTTTCTATGTTTAATATTATAGGTATAAATTTCAAAAAGTACCTTTTGAAGAACGAAAAAGTACCAAAAAGTCACCTTTTTATAGGTTCTCACTTAATCCGGGCTCTATATACTTAATTTCATGTTTCTAGGTTCACTATTATAGAAAATTCAAAAGTATATTTTATAGGTTCTCACTTAATCCGGGCTCTACATGCTTAATTTCATGTTTCTAGCCAAAAACAAAGTAACGTAACGTGTTTACCGTATGATTGTGTTGTTGTTGCTTTATTATTTCTGTCTCAGCATGCACGAAAAATCAAAAATTTTTATGAAATTTTCAGAGGTTGTCAAGGATATTAGCTCATATCTGTTATTAATGGTCTGATTTACCCGAACGTATATACATACATACGTATGTCTGATAGAATTATTGAAGATTCGGATCTCCGAAAACTAGTTTCAAAATACACACAGACGGTCATGGCTAAATTGACTCCACTATCTATCAGGATACAGAATATACATATGTATGTATATACTACTTATAGGGTCGGAAAATTATATTATAGACAAACTTGACATACTTATGTATATACAATATACCGTTCTTACGAATCTACATACAACTTATAACTAATCTAAAAACTTACCCAAAAATCATACTTATATTTCATCCGCAATCTCTTTTTATTGAAATTTGATAACATTTCTTAATTATTTAATAAAATTTGATTTGTTTTTTATTACACTAACTTTTTATAAAAAAGATTTTATTTCTGCATT